GAGCAGTTGCCCATAGTAACCAATCGACTTCTATCTTCAGTTTGTTCAGTTAAGCTTTGAAAATGAAAGAAAGAAGTTGATTGTTACGACGGGCAAGTGCTCCAGATTCCCTCTGCTCCGGTTTTGATAAATGTCCCCTCATTATCTCATTTAGTAGGTTTATGACTTGGGCTGATTTGTGACATGTTGTGCTAAGGTGAAGCAGATGTAACTCCTCACAGAGAGGAGACAAAAGAAGGCAGGACACGGAGGGGGGAATTTATCAAAACTGGAGCAGTTGCCTATGGCAACCAATCAGCTTCTCTCTTCAGTTTGTTCAGTTAAGATTTGAAAATGAAAGAGAGAAGCTAATTGGTTACCGTGCACAGCTGCTCCAGTTTTAATAAATTCCCTTCTCAGTGACCTCTGGATAATGTCAGTGCTGTGAGGGACAGACTGGGCACGTGTGTGTTTGTCTGCCAAAAAAGTCTTCCTCATTCCTGTCCTCTGCCTTTGGCCACGGTCACCTCACATGACGCTGACGTCACATGTGTCCTCTGTCACCAGACACCGGCCTCGCAGTGTTAGAAGGAAGAACTGCCTGTGTTCCATGGGATTGTACATCCAGAGATAAAGCTGATCTGACTACTCTTGCTGAACTGTGTGGTAATGATGAACTGCCCAGTAACTAAGGCCAGTTTTTATACACTCCATGACACCACAATTGGCCAGCTGTTTTCCCTCCAAAACAAGAAGACCAATCCATATGCCAGCTGTCCAGGGATTCTGCACGGTGGTAGCCGCAACTACTGGTAAGCGTCATATCGATACCTTTGATTCTGCCCAGAAACAGCTATGCCCCTTAGCAACTTGAAAATAGAAAAAAAGAGCCAGCAGCGTATCCGACAACATACCAGATACATTTTTTTACATTTTTTTTTATTCACCTATTATATAAAACCAATACTTATGATTAAATCAACTTAATTAAAACTTTTGATTGTTTTGGAAGTGCGACAATCCCATGGGGCCACTACTCCTATACGTCCTTTTTCGTGGCCCTAACATTCCACTTCCCATTGATGATGTTATCGTCATCTAGCGGAAACTGATTGGTTGTCAGGTGTCAATCAATAGCAGGCAGTGTGCATAAAGCAGAGTTCTGCCTCACAACTTTATTTTAAAGCAGCTGACAGTTATCTGGCACATGAACCCCTGGGGTGGAGCAGATTTTATATTGTTGTATCATGATGGGGAAGGCGGAGAGGGACAGGGTATTCTAGAAGATGTTCCCAAATTTCTATGTCCCTACAACATGCCATTGTCCTAGAAATTAATGTCAGGTGCCCTGGCAGCGTTATATCACATGACATCGCATGTGATGGAGTACATTACTCCAGCTGTTGGATAGGTGGGGCAGCACAGTATATTTTGTATGGGCACCATGCCACCTGCACAGCCTCATATTGTTTAATTTCGGATTTGATGTGTGCTGCAACACTCACGGTGTCCTGTGCGTTTTCCTCATATATCACTTGCCCCTCCCTTTTAGATTGTAAGCCCTCATGGGCAGGGCCCTCCTTACCCTCTTGTCTTGAATTGTAATGTCTTTCTTATATTGTAAAGCACTACACAAACTGTTGCCACTATATAAATCCTGTATTATAATAATAGTCTGCCCCATTTTCATAAGCGTTGCTGTGCGTTTTATGCCATTAATTTTGAACAGACCGATTAATGCACTGCAATGTGACAACACATGGTCTAGTGGTGGGAATGTCGCAGAATGCCCAACCTGATGCATGGGAGGTCTGGGAACCTTTAGCCTTGAGGGCAAGCACACAGTCACAATCAGCCCTTGCATGGTAGGGACAGATTTCTTAGGGCTTGTTCATACCAAATGCAGACCAGATCTGCATGAGTTTCTGCACACGCAGTGCAGTGGGTTGTGCTGCGTTTTTGATGCGTTCCAGGCCGTTTTTGTATAAAAGCGTTTGCATGCATTCCAGAGCAGGGAAAAATAGGACTTGTTGCAGTTTTTTTTACATGCTCTGGAACTGAACGCTCCGGTGTGAACTAGAGCCCAAAATATAATTGGAATACATTGGACGCAGTTTTGATCCGGTCTGTAACTGCTCTGCTCCTGGAACGCGCTTGGTGTGAACTAGCCCTAAGTCTTCTTTGCAGCAGACATCTAAGTCTTCAGCACCAGCAAGTGTGCCATGGTGCTGGTGTCTGCTACTACAGGACATGGTTTATTGTGACACACCTTAACTTCTCTCAGCATTAGGTCACATCTCTGCCCCGCAATGGAAGTTGGTGCTGGAAGACCCTCTGCCAGTATGCTGTGCCCACAGATTTGAACAAGCAGATAGCTATATAAAGCCCAGCATGTGTCACTGACTGTGGGTCCCACTTTGATCAATGTTTTAAGTACCTCTATGTAGGCCCCCCCTCCCAGCCTAGTCCTCCTCTGACCCAATACAAGATTGTACTCTCTTCCCTGCCATGACTGCCAAGAGGCTCTACTACTCTATGCTAATAGAGTCCATGTCTTTTCTGGGTCTCAAATACCTGGGGGGCTTCCCCTGAAAATGGGGGGTGTTTACATTTGTTTTGGTGCATTTAGGAGTTAAAAATCAGTTCCTAGATGCCCGACTTCTATTTTTTCTAAATGCAAACTGACTGCAGATAAACACGTATAAACGCAAGGTGTGAATAGATCCATTGGAAATCATCAGATGGATATATATGCATTTACAAATGCTTTTTAAACGCATATAAAGGGATTTAATTACACATAATGTACATGTAGTTATTAAAGATGTAAGCTTTCTGGAACTCTTAGATCAGGCTTTGTACAATTCTGCCAATATTATATTATACAATGTAGACACAATTAGCATAAACAGACCTGAATAACGTTTTTGTAAATTGTTTGGAAACACAGGAGTGTTTGGAAAATATTTACACCCAGCTAGGAGGGAAGTAAAATGCTGCATTTTATAAAGGGGAGCAAAGTATATGGAAGGAAACCTATGCCAGTGGCTTCCACTGCTGACCTCATCTTCTGGTAAGGACAAACAGGCAAGCAGCATTTTCAGACACAGCCAATTAAGCACAGCTTTTGTAATTTTGTAAATTGCACAATCAGATTGTATAGTGTATGGTGAGCCACATCCGGTTTCTGAATTGTGCAATTCTCCTGAGTTGAAATAGTCCTGCCGGCAGTTATAAAGAAACATTCTGATAAGAATGCTCTCCTTCCCCATGCCTGCATGTCTTGTGTCATGAGACCGCTCCCACAGAAGCTTTGCCTCTCTCACTAGTTTGCCATTGCTGCACCCTCCTGTCATGAGACTGACACCCCCCTCCTGTCATGAGACTGACACCCCCCTCCTCTCAATAGACTGCTCACTCCTCTCATTGGACTGACCCCCTCCTCTTATTATACCAGGGGTGGGCAACTCCAGCCATGCTTTAACTACAAATCCCAACATGCCTATGTCTCTGGGAGTCATGTGTGTAACTGTCAGTCTTGCAATGCCTCATGGGATTTGTAGTTCCACAACAGCTAGAGGGTCGGAGTTGTTCACCCCTGTATTAGACTCTCCCTATCTCTCGTCTCATTAGACAGCCCCTCTCTTTGCATTAGGCTCTCCCCTCCTGTCATTAGACTGCCCCCTCCTGTCATTACACTTCCCCCTCCTCTTATCAGACTGCACCCCCTCACCCCATACGCACATGGCTCCAAAGTTACAAAGGCTGAAAAAAGTGACATATCTGTCTTTATTGATCACCTCAGCCTGTAAAAAGCATAGATCTGCTGTGAAGTGCCCCTCCTCCTCCCTCTGGCCTGGATTCCAATATTCATGAGTGGGCAGCCCTCTCACTTGACTGCTCCTCCTGTCATTGACTGCCTCCTCCCTGACCTGCCTCCTCTCCTGCTCATGCTCTTCCTGATCACACCGCAGGACAACTTTCTTTCTCTTATTTTTGTTTATATTTTCCAGATTTGTCTCATCCTGGAGGGGGTGATAGTCTGCTGCCCCCCTGAATGCTGGGCTCCCAACCAGCCACAGATGCCACCAGGAGTGGGTGATCCAGCTCTGCCACCTGTCTGATCACACTTCCCTGCTATGCACTTTGCTTTCCTGTCCTCTGACCTGTCAGTTCCTCTGCTTCAGCTCCAGACAGCTTTGCTTGTTGCCTCTCCATGCTTCTCCATGACATGGTCCTTTAACCTACTCACCTGGCTTGGTTCATCACCATAGCCCATACCAGTCGCCCCCCCCCCCTGCGCCACGC